ACGCGGAACGCTTACTGAACAATCCAAGTCGACAACACAAATACCGCTGCACATGCTATTGGATACTTTCGGAATCGCTGCGCAACAACCGGGGCCTATGGAAGTCGTGCAGCCGACGACAAACGCAACTGGTCCTCACCGCAGGTAGAAGCACATCCGTCGAAGGACCGAAAGACTGCAGATTGACCCGCAACTAAAACGGTATGTTCAAACTCGAAAGGGGGATGTTATGGGGACCCAACGTTCCCATAATGATCGCAACTGGATTCAGACAAGTGCACGTGTACTCGATTCAGTCAAGTGCACCTTTACTCGTTTCAGTCAAGTGCATATGTTTTCAATCAGCATTGTAACTCGTGAGACATTCACATGTCGATTAGCCTTTGTTCCTCAGAAAATATTCCTGTTTCCGGCCAACACCCACAGTCATTAGACATTAAACCTTTTTTTCTTAAGAAACATTCATTTCTTAGTCCAGCTTTCGCATCTACCAGCATTTACGATTCGGCATGACGATAATTCAGTTGCTTATGCCTTGCTCCCAGGGCCTGCTTACGCAAACCATTTTATGTGACAATTCACATATAAAAGAAACGCTGGACTGCGCTGTAATCGCTTTGAGTCTGGTCAGTAAAAGTGCCAACGCGAAGGGCCTGTGTTTGTCTTGTTCTCTCGGGTTTGGTAGCTGCGTATGAAATTGCGTTCGGTCTAGGAGCCCGTCCAACTTGTGTGTAGAAATCGTGTTGCGGCTAAGTCCACGAATTGTACAACTTCGAATTTTGTCGGTTGCCGTGCCGTGCGTGAAATAGCTCCAAGACACATTTGTTCGTTGGCTTGTTCGACTGGGAGAGTTGATACAAGCTTGTCAGAGTGTGGCGTCACCAAGGGGAGTACATAACAGCAATCTTGACTTAAAAGCTATCAAAAATAACCCATTGCTAATATCACATTTTTGATGGTTGTTGGAGTGGAAGCTGAAAGGAAGTCAAGTGACAAAGAGACTCATAACACGAACGCCGCTGAGGTCGACTCTTCGCCATTTCAGCTTGTTTATCCAACCGAACTTGTTCATCATCCCTCGGTCTCCAGTCAGGCAGTCGGGAAACACCAACCGGCGTTAACTTCAAAGGGAAGGACTTCATTCCTCTCGATCATGTCATCGCTCGACTTTGCCTCCTCTTTTTCCATCCAAACCCTTGGCCGTGCAAACAACGCACCTCGCGGGAGTCGGTGGACTGACACACGCAACACGTGACCCAGAAGTGCACTACTCTTTTTATTCTTCACCATGGACATTGTTGTGTTGTGTTTTATTTTACTGTTTTTGTACCTTCGTTTGAATCCCATGGTTTCTGATGGCATTATGTCTGTTAACAGACTTTTGCAAATATATATATATATTCTTCACCAGATGCTAAAACGTCATTGCACAAATGATGATCCTCCTTGACTTGAGTGCGGTCTTCAATTCTGTTGTGGCAAGGGTTTAGCTTAAAAATATTCCATACGACGAATCAAGCAGCCATGTAGAAGTACATGGTAAAAGCACCCGTGTTCGGAACGACGAATGGGATGCAATAGAGTTACTTTATTGATACAATTCTTTTGACCAAAACAGTTGTTTACGACCCATGCTTTCTATCTTCACTTTAGTCAGAGATTCTGTGTCTCAACTGATTGCCAACCTTAGATTTCGCAAGGGACATTGGTCTATTTCTTGATCTGACTCAACTATTGTGCAAGCTCCGCTGTATACCATTTTCACTTTGAATTGGACCTTTTACAGACCACTTTGGACACCTTGGATTTTAAGCAGAAAATCAGTAATCCGCTTGCAGGAAAGGAGGGGTAAGACGACCAGACGATGTTTAGCGTACATTGTAATCATGCTAATGCAACCGAATTGTGTAACCAGCGAATGCCACTGCAAACTCTTCGTTTGTTCGGGAACCTCGATCGCCTCGATCAAAGACGGTGGACTGAGTATCCCCCTGTCTCCCCATCTGTCATATCCTACTTTATGTGCTTCTGACTTTACACATGGATCTGTGTAGCTATGTGACTATTGGAAAACCAGACACCCTAATCGCGTAGTCTATCATGACCTATACAAATGTTACCTAGCACTAGAGGATCGTTGTGAAGCACTCGTTTTGAGAATGGATTATAATTCGCCATCTCAATGTGGACCGCGATTCCCACTGAATTAAACCTTGGTGAATTCAATCACTTGGACCGTAACTGTTGAAGCAGATAGGCGGCGATCTAGGTGTTCCCTGTCACTCTATGAGCCTTCGCTATGGTTGTGGGCCAACCTATTCAGCTGCTCGATTACTGGATTATTGCAGACTATCCTGACTCCACCAAACACAGCATACCTTCAATGCCCTACTGCTGCAAGTCGTTATAAAGGTAAGGGGATTAAAACGACTGGACGATTTTCATACCACATTGTGCTCGCACGAATGCAGCGGGACTGTGCAAGCAGTGGGCGATTGTGTATGCCCTCCACTTGATCATTGTCGTTGTTCATCTCGAGCAAAGACGGGCCTCCAGTTGTCCCGTGTCGCTCTATGGGCTTTCGCGGATTTCCTGTGGTTGTGTGCGAACCTATGCAGTGCAATCACTGGAACACTCTTGGCCATTATGAATCCACCTAAACCTGTCTAGCTTCATTGTTTTACAGTTGTAGCTTATTATCAAAGTCAGAAGAATAAGGAGACCGTACGATATTCCTGCCACATTGCGCTTACGCGAATGCAACTTAACTGCATAAGCAGTATGAGCGTCAGTTGTCTCGATCAGAACCGGTGACCCAGTTGTCCCGTGTTGCTCTATGGGCCTTCTCGTATCTTATGCGGGTATGTGGGCGAACCTATTCAGCTGATCGAATATTGGAACAGTGTAGGCTATGATGAATCCACCAAAACCAGCCTAATTTTGCTGGCCTAAAGTTGCAGTTTGTTATCAAGGCAGGGGAGTAAGGCGACTGGACGATGTTCCCGCCACATGTTGGTCATGCGAATGCAACGGGACTATGCAAGCTGTGAGCAGTAATGTAAGCCTTGCTCTTGATCCTTGGCGTCGTTCACCTCCATTGAAGCGGGTGACACATTTTGCCCTGTCACTTAATGGGTGTCTGCGTACATCCTGTGGGTATGTGGACCAACCTATTCAGCTGCTCCATTATTGGATCAGTGCAGGCTACCATGACTCCACCTTGTGCTGCAAGAAACGACTAAAATGACCTTTGGTAACGACTTGCATCAGTAGGCCATTGAAGGTATGCTGTGTTTGATGGAGTCAGAATAGTCTGCAATAATCTAGTAATCGAGAAGCTGAATAGGTCGACCCACACACAATACGCGAAGGCTTAAAGAGTGACAAGGAACACCTAGATCGCCGCCTGTCTGCTTCATCAGTTACGGTCCAAGTGATTAAATTGGCCAAGGTTTAATTCAATGGGAATCGCGGTCCACATTGTGATGGTGCACCATAATCCATTCTCAAAACGAGTGCTTCACAACAACCCTCTAATGCTAGGTAACATTTGTTTAGGTCATGATAGACAACGCGGTTAGGGTGTCTGGTTTTCCAATAGTCACCTAGCTACACAGACCCATGTGTAAAGTCAGAAGCACATAAAGTAAGAGATGGCAGATGGAGAGACAGGGGGATACTCAGTCACCGTATTTGATCGAGGCGATCGAGGTTCCCGAACAAGCGAAGAGTTTGCAGTGGCATTCGCTGGTTACACAATTCGGTTGCATTAGCATGATTATGGGGTACTCTAAACATCGCCCAGTAGTCTTACTCATCCTTTTTTGCGAGCGGATTACTGATTTGCTGCTTAAAATCCAAGGTGTCTAAAGTGGTTTGCGATTGGTCCAGTATGTTTTGTAAAACGTCCAAAGTGGTTTACAAAACTTTCAGGTTTTTGTAAAACGTCCCATCCAAAGTGAACATGGTATATGGTATGGTATTTTAGCTTGTGGCTCTACTCGCTTCGAAACACGCTTTACACTCCCAAAGCGCAAACACTTATAGGACTGACTGGACATACTACTAATTTTCGCTGTCACCGAACGACTGCCAGGAGTATTCAAAAAAATTGTTCATCTGGGGAGCTTCATCATTCGTGCTCACATTACGGATTAGATTATTGCACTCATTGCTACAGCTGATAAGACCCTTCTTCTCCCGTGTTGCTTATGGAGAGGGTGGGATATTATATAACTAGTTTTCCGTGGGATTTTGTGAGGCCTTGCGGTATCCAGCGGATGATGTTGCAATAAAACATCAAATTACAGAGGAGTAGTAGGGGGAGTTGAATGGTATAGGTAGAAATTCGCAAAATCTGGACTCACTCAGACAGCCGCCACACGCTCGGAGAAGCACTGTACGCGCGTTTCATCCTTTCGGGAATCGTCAGCAGTGCGCATTCCACCAGACCCGGGTAGGGCTCGAACTCGCATCTCGACTGTTGACAGTCCATGGTTGAGACCACTAACCTACGGGGGACGGTAAGGACTCAACCACGGACTGGCAACAGTCGACTTGCGGGTTCGAGCCCTACCATTGTCCGATGGAATGCGGACTGCTGACGATTCCCAAAAACACCAAATGTTGCGGTAAAGTTGTGGCATGTTGCTACCTATCATATTCTTGGATGGGGGCTTCCGGATCAATCACATCTGTTTAATTGCTCTACTGGATATGACGTAGCCATGAAGCTTGCTTATTTTCTTCTTACTCTTCGCCCTTCAGTTTGTCGACTTGGATTTTTTCTCTATCGCTTATGACTAATTTTGACATTATTACTAGTTGGAGTGCTTCAAGGCAACTTTGCCCACCGCACGTCGTCTCCTTGATTGTGGTTGATCAGCTGTAGTTGCTATCCTGTTTATGCCTTTGGGATAATTCACATTGAACTCTGCTCCTGATTTCGCATGCTGGTATCACCGTGCTCCTTATACGTTTGCCGCTTTTCATCTTTTGTAGACGTCAGAAACAATGGGGCATGCAGATGACATTGAGTCACTAACTGCTCAGCTGGTTACGGGAATGGATGTCGGAGAGTGTGGTGGTGTCGCTGTGGATAATGAACGTGGTACTCACCCCAGGATGAGCTTATACAAAAATCTTGGACGTGCCATCGATCAGGAAAGAAGATGGCGATCGGAGTTGGCCATAACAAATCGTAAGAACAAGCGACAAGCTCTTATCGATTGCAGCAGAGGATTGCAAATTTTTGGACCGCAAGGTGGCAACAAAACCGATGTTTCCCACCCTTGGGCTTCAAAAGCATCTTCCTTTACTGGTTCAAGCTGGCGATCCTTTTCTCGTAAATTAATGTTAGCAGAATGGCTCTTGTTTATGCCTCCAGAATTTGCGACTTCCTATTGTATGGTCCCATGTCCAAAGGGTAGGCACGTACTAGTTTGTGCAGCCAAGGTGAGTTCTGTATTCATCTGTTCTAAAAGCCTACCGCTTGTTTTACTGGTCAATTTTCCACGTAAGTTTATTCCAGTAAACATTCTGAAAAGGGATTGCAAGTTTCACGCTTGAAATCAATAGTTCTACTAGCGTTGAATGGGTTTCCAAACAGCTTCCGCTTTCGTCTTCGCTTCGCTTGTGTATCTCATCTTGGATCTTCATTCGGGTGGAACTGTGCGCCGTGTAGCACGAACCATCAGTGGTTTCCTTCTAACTTCAATCTTCGCGGCGACATGTGCAATCATAAGGGCGGGTAATTTAGGAGATGGTTTCCTGCGACTGGCGTTTGGGCAGTTTCAATCATTTCCAGGCCGTTCATCTTGCATCACTTCAGTTTTGCTCTTCCTCAGTAGTACGTTTATGTGTTATCTGCCAGATTTCTAAGTCAGTGCTATTCATGTTTGTCGTCCGAAGGTGCCGCATTGGTACACTTTAGCCTGGTTGCTGTCCGTTGTGGATCAGTTATAGTCATTTCTTCCGCTTTAATTTATAATGTTTGGTACCATTTACGGAAATGGGTTTTTTTGCGATCATCATTTTTTCATATAAAAGTTCATGATGCTCCGCGTTGCAACGAGACTGGGCCTTAACATGATGCGACGGAATGTGTACTTCTTTGACCCACCGAACTATGCTGCGTAATACCATACGACTCCTTGTGAGCTACTGTTACCAAATTGGTTAGTGGTTATAGGTCAGACGAAATCAGTCTCCTGTTTCTCCAGGTTGCGGGTTAGATATGGGGTGGCGTCCACTTATATAAAACCAAATCATGGCCTCCACGCTTTTGAGCGACAAATTATGATGGCGGGCGCTAATACTTTTCCTGTCTAGGTCTGGGTCCCCTGACTCGAGTCCTGGCCGATTCCCGTGGAAGACGCGTCGTCTTTCTGCCTTCGATAACGGTTTCTTAAGGTGGATTGCTCGTGTTTGGTGACAACATCCAGTTAACAGTAATGACCTTCGAGATCGCATCTTGGGGAATGCTCGGTCACGTCCTACGCATGGCACCCGAGCGTCTACCGCGTCGCGCTGTATACACTCGTCAAGGATCTGGCTGCAGGCGATTGCGTGGGCGTCAGCCTTCCACTTGGCGGCAGCACATGAAATCGCTGACGTTGTGTCTAGTCGCTGTTGGACCCGTACGTCTTCCAGGATCAGGACCCAAAGATGAGGAATACCAATGGCTTAACACTCCTGAAAACATGGCCCGCAACCGGAATCCGTGGAAGAATTGTGTACAGAATTGTATTGATTCACGTGTTTAATACTTCAGACATTAAAAATGACAAACTGTTTTGTTCTGCTTTTTTTTAAATGTTCCATTCTTCCTGCGGCGTAGTAGCTGAAGTGTGTTGCTCACCTTCAACTACTATGACGCGATGACGTCCTCTTATCCGCTAATCTCCATGGTTTTTATTGGCTCTATGTCTAGTTGCTAGACTGTTGAGGTTACATACAGTATCAGCTCACGTTCAACCATGACTACTTCATCAAACTTCACTCACGTCCTGGATTGACAGTCTTCAATCTTTGAAAGCGTCGCCTTATCAGTCGCATACAGCTGTGCGGATAGGCGAAGGCATGCTTTTGGCCAATGAAGTTGTACGGCATCGAAGCATCCGTTTAAATAGCTGATGTGCTGTTATTGTTGACCGTCATGTGGCCCATGTGAGACGATTAGTGCGTCGGAGTTTATGAGCTCAACAACACACCAACTGTCACACATTTTCATGGTATAGCTTTGAATTACATTATCCTGCTTATGCTTTTTTCTTGAGCCATTTGAATTGGTTTTGCATATATGCGCTGTAGACATTGTTGCTGCTTCATATTTCGCTTTCGACAACGACCAAAACTCAACCGATCGATTGTAATAATGTTGTCTTACCTGTATTCCATTGCGAGAGCACTGGACCTTAACGTATTGCGATGGTTTGCTTACTTCCGATACCCATTGAGCTACGATGGTTGACACTTTCCAAGTGCTTTCAGGGCCAGTCATATCAGTTAGGCCAATGGATGGAGGTCAGACTAACTGAATCTCACAGTTCTCTTCAGAGGTTACGGAGAGATCGATTGCCCACCTCTTTTAAAACCTAACCATGGGAGATAACGGATTTGCGGGATATTAACTCACAGCTCGATTAGCGCAGGCCATGAGCGCCCCGCATTGTCTCTCACGGTGGGATGGCATCACCCGGTGTTCAATGGTTTTCCCCCGCCTGCCACAAGCTATACAGGCCCTGGTCAAGTTGGTGCAAACCCGCCAACTCCCACTTGTAGCTGCACGTGATCGCAGGTGTGTGACATGGTTGGCGACATCCGGTTCCAGATTTGTCTGCCACTGCGACCTCCATAGGACATCCACTGGACGCCTGCGCCTACAGAGGGACCGTGAGTGGCGTGCACTGCACCACCCATAGCTTCATTCACACACCCCATATCCAGTGTAAACCCGAAGGAATAAGACCGGGAGGCATGTGGATGGGAACCACGTTTCATCAACGGAGCTGGCCCACACTCCTTCACAGGCAAACATAAGCACACTGTATTTGGGGAATCAAGCGCACACAAGACGGTGGTTGGACCGTAGTCCGCTCCACACTGAGTGCATGGAACCGCTCTTCGAGCCTAGCACGGCCACGTGAGCCGTGCATCCCGTCCCCTCTAAAAACGACAAACTGTCTCCTGGAGCCAGTATGAATGAGGTAGTGGGTAATAGACAGTTATGCACCTTGTCAACATGCGCATCGAGCGCAGCCACACCGGTGATATCAAAAAACAGTCGATCACTTCACTTAGCTTAAGCGACGTGAGCAAGTTAATAGATAGTTCACGTAGACATTAATGAGACAATATAGCGAACCCACCACCTGAAATAAAGAGACTCAGCGTGCAAGCACGCGGTTAGTAAGTCGAGTGCAGCGTATCTACGAACGCTGCGCCGATTCTGCCTACGTTCTCTACAGGACCCTTCGTCTTTTCGGTGTTGGCTCCGAGTGGCCTCGCTCATGGCTCACTATTCCTGTCTGACTCAGGCACTCGCGACCGCATGTGCTACAGCACCATGCGCTCGATTTCGATGGAGTACAACCCATCGGCACTTGCCGCTTTCGCACTTGTCACTCCTCCGCATGCCTGAGGTCTTTTTCCTGCATCTCGGCAACTGCCTTCGTGATCAGATCGCGCCATGCAAGCCGATCAACTGCCTTCGATTCCCATGACCTGCAATCAAGATTAGAACGTGAGAGGATCACTTTATAGTGGAGCTTCTGTATCCCCACATGCCGCTTCCCAACACAGCTGACTATATAATAGCTGCTTCGGAATCCGCGTCGAATCCATACGTCACACATGACCGAACCACCTCAGGTGTTTCAGCAAACGTATGCGAAGTCCACCGCATACGTTCCAATTCGGTGTGTAACATAGTGGGCGGCATCCGGTTTCGGATTTGCCTGTCACTGTGGCCAGCCACAGGACGCCTGCGCCTACAGTGGGACCATGGGTGGCTTGCGTTGCACCACCCACAGTTCCAACCACACACCCCATATCCAGTGTAAACCCGAAGGAATAAGACCGGGAGGCATGTGGATGGGAACCACGTTTCATCAACGGATCTGGCCCACACTCCTTCACAGGCAAACACAAGCACGCTGTATTTGGGGAATCAAGCGCACACAAGACGGTGGTTGGACCGTAGTCCGCTCCACACTGAGTGCATGGAACCGCTCTTCGAGCCTATCATGGCCACGCGAACCGTGCATCCCGTCCCCTCTAGCAACGACCAACTGTCTCCTGGAGCCAGTATGAACGAGGTAGTGGGTAACAGACAGGTAGGTACCTCGTCAACATGCACATCAAGCGCATCACATCGGGGATATCAAGCAACAGTCAATCGCTTGAAACGGGGAGATGAAATACAATAAATCGATTAATGCATACAGATGCGGTGGCATAACTCTTCGCTAAATTCTATATGAAGTAACTTGGTTAGCAACGAATCCGCGATAAGTAAGAAATGTCCACAAATTACTTGAAAATGCGACAGAGGCAACGAACTTACCGAAAATAAGCGCAATTAGCGTAGGCAACGTGTGCAAGTTAACAGAAGATTATTCAGGTATGCAGAACAAACCAAATAAAGTGGAATGGAATTTATGCAGCTTGAAAGGACCTTGTTTAAGTGTAAGTTGGTTTATATATATATATATATATATATATATATTTGCAAAAGTCTGTTAACAGACATAATGCCATCAGAAACCATGGGATTCAAACGAAGGTACAGAAACAGTAAAATAAAACACAACACAACAATGTCCATGGTTTCCTCAGAGGGCGAGATACTACCCGGTTGCCCAAGCCGAAGTAGGGTGTTGACTTAGGGGACACCACCCCGAGCCTTTGGCTGAATAGCCTGCCCGCAAGGCAGCGGAGCGAATTCAGGGAATCACGCCCATTGGGAGCCGGTGACTGATTGCTCAGTTCATACGCCTTTTGTTTGTTCCTTTGTCAAACTGGGGCCCAATGCTCCCCAGAAGTACAGCATAAGGTTGCTGAAATACAATGCTTCGCCAGAATGAAGCAAGGGGCAGTGACTTTATTTAGTGGCGAGTCACATCCGCCACGTCACAGTGTTGTTAAACGGACATATGTGGCTTTTTATAGGGAGAACGCTTGCCACTCGAAAACCCACCACGTCCTGGAACACTGCCGCCGAACCATTTGCTGGAACGGGAAAATCCCGAACTACCCAGCTGGCACCACGAGGAGGTTGTTCGGCAAGCCAGCCGTAAGTTGGTTTAGCCCAACTGCGGTGAAGAAGCATCAAGGATGCAACATCAGCCTCAGCATCGGGCACAGGTGTGAAAATTACTACGGTCTTAAAATACATATGAATTGTTCAGTCTTTTAATTCTCTGCGTTACGAGCCTCAAGTGGATCTCAGTGAG